GAACATCTCTGTTCCATCCAGCATGGGAGGGAAGGGTTCAGTAAGGCCTGGTGGATTTCCTTTCACATTGGTCCATTCAGCATGGGTGGGGCTGAGGACTGAGGTCTCAAGTCCTATTCCATGGTGAGCACTGCAGAACTCTTGGCCTAGGAAGTCCTTTTCAAATATCTGCACTAAGCAATCAGCAAATTTTCATATAGTCAGAAAGAGGGTGTGGCAAGGGTCCTTGCACCAATCTGGCACAGCCCTTCATATAAATGAAGGGTCAGCTTTGCATCAATCACTTCCACAGGAAGTGATCCCTCTCCTGGCCTGGGTGAAAATGGCTTCAGGCTCATCTAGAATTCACTGGTTTGTCTTGCTTGGAGTGCTATTTTCCAAGGCTGGAGCAAACTGTCTGGAGTGGTCATGACTGCATGTCTTCAGCTGTGGTGGTAATGGTCCTCTGCAGTTGTTGGAGTGTCCTCAGAGTGACTGGAAAGTGTCCAAAACAGCCAGGCTGTCATGAGGTCAGTCCAGCTGGTTGCCAGAAAAGAGGCTACTTGAGTGATTCCCACTCAAGGCTGCCAAACATGAGGGAAGGGGCTGTCCAATGGTTGCTCCTGTTTTAATTATTCACAGAAAGCATTCAAAGTATGTTTACCAGGAAGATCTAACAAAAAACCAACAAGGAACAATTCTAATAATGTTGAACAGTGCTTAATAAAATGCCTAATTCCTGCCTCAGTGTCCTAGGGAGAGGTGGGCCGCTCTGATCTGTCTCAGTTACTGGATAAAATCTGTTTTCATGCCTGAACTGTGGTTTGGTAGCCGGATTCAAATAATTAATGAAGGGAGAAGAACTGATCAGGTCAGCTAGGTGAAAGGACTGGTAAATTTTATGACTGCAAATACGATTCTAAAAGAATTGCTAATCTGTGGGAATTTTACAAGAATCTCTAATCTGTGGGAATTTTACAGGTTTCATTGTCTCAACATTGTTCCTGAAATAGCATGTTACCTGACTCTACTTCCTTCTCTCCATCTGCAGGTTTTTACCCCTCCCTCCTTTCTTCCATTACAGCTTCCACAACCCTGCTTTCTTCCAGTATTCTTTCCCTCAGTTTACACACCTCACTGAACAAAACATTAAAGGTCCTTCACATCGATTAATGAAGCAATGAGGATTCGCAATTTTAAAACTGTTCTTTAAAATGTAAAAAAAAAGGAGTATTGGCAATAAAGTGATTCAAGTTCACTAGAAATATGAAAAGAGAAAGCGAAATAATCAAATTTAAAAAGGAATAAAGTCAAACCAGTTGGGTGGTTGAGGATAGCACAAATATGTTACAATGAATATAAATTTTTACTGCAATAATAATAATAATAATAATAATAACAACCAGTAATAGCCGGGTACTGGTGGCTCACCCCTGTAATCCTAGCTACTCAGGTGGCAGAGATCAGGAGGATCGCGGTTCAAACCCACCACGGGCAAATAGTTCGGACGACCCTATCTCAAAAAACCCATAAAAAAAAAGGGCTGGTGGAGTGGCTAAAGGTGTAAACCCTGAATTCAAGCCCAGTACCGCAAAAAACAAAATAACAAAAACAAAAAGTAATTACCTGAAAGATTTAAAAAGGGAACGAACTAGAAATTTGGAGCGGCACTGAGATTTGAATATAGGCAGACCAGCTCTTGCTATTATCCTTATTTTTTGGATGAGGACATCCAGGTGATGAGGAAGCATTCCTGGTGACAGTTTGAATACTAAACGTCCACACGTTTTCTTTTTAGAAAAGCCGGTTCTGAATGGTCTCACCATGGGAGCTATTTAAAATGCCGAGAAGGACGCACACCGATTTTTCTCGCGATTTTTGGCCTCAGCGGGCTCCCGGCCTGAACTACATTTCCCAGCGTGCCGCGTTCATGTCTAAGGGTGCCTGCATGAGGTCAATCGCCGTTGGCGGCGGCGCAGTTGCGGGCGGGCGTCTGACGGGCGGGCGCTTCGCGGTTTGAATGGCTACGGGCCCGGGCCCTCAGTTCATTTGAGGACCCGCTGCCTAGGACTGTGCTATGCCGTCTGGAGGCGATCAGTCGCCGGCGCCCCCGCCTCCTCCCCCGTGGCCTCAGCTTCAGATGAGGAGGAGGAGGACGACGCCGAGGCGAGGAGTAGCGCAGTCGGCGGGGTCGCCGACCCCTCAGATCCAGCAGCGGTTCGACGAGCTGTGTAGTCGCCTCAACATGACGAGGCGGCGCGGGCCGAGGCCTGGACAGCTACCGGAGCATGAGCGAGAGCTATACGCTGGAGGTGCGCTCGGGAGGGGACAGGGCGGGGGCTTCGTGGGCCTGGTCTGCGCGGCGCGCCTTCGCGGGAACGGGGGAGCCTGTGTCGTCCCTGCGTCCGGGACACCAGACTTGGCGAGGTCTCGGGGACTCTGCGGGCGAGTCCTGCCGCGCTGCTTTTCCGTCTTGGGTTCAGGGTGGGGGGCACCTTTCGCTTTACAAAAGTGGGTGTGCGTGGCCCATGTGAACACCTTGGTAGAGTGAACAGGTGTCTATCTAGACGGACAATGGAGGGCTTGTCCCCGGAGTGCGGAGGTCCGCGGATTGCCGCGCTCGGTTCCGGGCTTCAAGTCCTTCATTTTCCAGCCTCGCCTGGACCCAACGGCCCTTGGCCAGGCATTGCATCCGATGGAGGAGAAGCGTTGTCGGGTTTGGGCTGTGTGCGTGGGAACTAATGAAGACGGGCTATCTGCGCTCCCGGGTGTGGTGTCACCCCCACATGTTACTGGGATCGGGGAGGTGACCACCGCTGGGTTGCGGGCTTGTTGGGTCCCTTTCTTCGGACCCGGCTGGCAGAAGAGAAAAATGGCCCTCTAGCCAGTGCCTGTCAACTCCGTAGGCACCGCCCCTCCGCGGGCCAATGGGAAGTGACGCGGAAGTCACCGTGTTTACCAGCTGTTCCACTGCCGGTGTGTGCCATTTAAACATGAGGCCCTTTGATTTTTTCTCATATAGTTTTATATATAGATTCTAGAAAGAGCAGGGCAGATAGGCTTAGAATGTGAAGGCCTAAGGTGGTATTTAACTATATATAATACAGTGTTTTTTTCTGTGTCTTTCAGTTAAGTATTTTTAATCTATTCATATATTAATAAATTTGAACTCGTTACTAGTTCCCTCTTCCCATCGTTATATGTACAGAATAAGTACAGTAGTATGATGGCTTTTAATTTAACCATTGAAGGTTAACTAAGGCACTGTGTAGTTTGGGCACGGAAAGCTCTCTCAAAAAGAAGAGGCGACGTTCCTCTATCTCTTAGTGGTTTCCTGTAGTTAGGCAAAGAAAATGACTCTTTTTTGGTTTGAAAGGTGTAAGTGCCAAACAGGTTCTTATTTTACTCTCAAGATGACTCTAGATAGGACAAGTATTATCATACGGTTGAGGTATTTCAACTCAGATTAAATCATGTGAAATCTATTGTTACATGAGCAAGTGATACATAATATCAGATGGTTAGTAAATTATTTTTGGAAACTCATTTGATTACTTGATTTATTGATGAGTGAAACTTTAATCTCAGCTTCTTTGCCCAGTTTTCCCAATAAGTGCGCGAATATTTTTTGAGTACCTGTTATTTGCTACAGAACTCTATGTGCTGGAGATAAAGCAGTGAAGAAACTCAGTGCCCCACCTGGAGTTTTATGTCAAGTGCTGTAAGAGAACATGGGCTGGCAGTTTCCTAGAAGTGTGCAATGGAAAATAAGCTCATGATATTTAATTTAGAGCACTGGCTATAGAATTTTATCTTTTGATTTTTGTATTTTCTTTGTTTTATTCTTATATAGCTCATTTAATCTCATTAGTTCTTAGCTAAGAAAATGAAGTTTTAAATTGGTTTTTAAGCCAATATATGTGTAAATGTGAAAAATGGACTTTCTGATTGCTCTCATTTTTATTTAGACCAGCCATTGGATTCAATGAAACTAAAGGACATCTTCCAATTCAATCATAACTGGGAGAAAAAAAACTATGTTGATATTTTTTTTTTTAGATAGGGTGTTCCTTATGTAGCCCAGGTTGGCCTCAAATTCATGATCCTCCTACCTGGCCTCCTGAATGTTGTTAGGATTACAGATGTATGCCCCATGCTCAACTCAGATGACCTTTTAGAAGTAGTGCCTTAAAACTTACTTTTTGAATGGCAGTGGACCCATATTAGTCCATATGGTTATAAATTTTATGTATTTATGCGTATGTCTTGATGAGGTATAAATTAGTGGCAGAACACAAGTTCAAGCTTAATTTTACATTTATTTCTTTTATTCTAGATTTTAAGCAAAAATTTAAAAGTATATAAATAACAATATTATTTCAGTATAGCTGTGTACCAATTATCCTAAAAGTTAGTGTCGTAAAACAACAGTTTATTTTGCCCATTGATTCTATAGGTTAGAAATCCAGACAGGCACAGTGGGGATGCCATGGGGATAACTGTGCCTCACTTGAAGACTCAAGCAGCTGGGGCTTCTTGGGCATCTCTGTGTATATGACTGACCAGTCCATATGGTCTCTCTCCAGCATGGCAATTCAAGGTAGCCAGGCTTTTTACATGTTGGTTTAGGACTTTCAAGGGACATGTCCTAAAAGAGAGAGCCAGGTGGAATCTGTTTTCTGTTTTGTTGATCTTTTTGAAGTTACATAGCATCACTCCCACCTGTGTCATTAGTTGAGACAGTTAATCAACGTAAGGGAATACAGGTCCCTGCACAGGTTCAAGGTGAGGGAACACAGATCACACTACCTCTCATGGAAGAGTTCTTCCATGGGATAGGTCATCACTGGACCCTATTCCATAACATAAATAGTTTCCCATAACATATAAACAGTTTCAATTTAAACATAAGACTTTTTATTGAACAAACACATATAGTAAAAATTATGTTTTCTTTTGGGAAATCTGATCTTTTCTTTTACAGCGCTTATAAATGATCTTCAGAAAATCTGGCTAGCATGGCCTTATATGTGGCTTGCAGAAAATCTGTTCCAACTGTGAGCAAAGGGACTGTTGAAGGAAACTATGTATCTTTAACTAGAATCCTGAGATGTTCAGAACAGAGGTAACTGTATTAGAGTTTGAAAGTAGAATGTGGCTAATATAAAAGCTCATAAATTATAATGATAGTGAGTATTCTCTTATTCATTATTTTCTGAGCATTTTGTCCCTGTGGATTGTTGAATTTAGAGCTAGCTAGTTTGTGATTTTCCTTTCCTATTTCAAGGTTAGTAGCCATTATATTTTACTAATTTGATTAAAATAGTTGCATTTTAATGTATTACATACTTGTATGGAAGAATTTACTTTTAAAGCTTATGAATTATTTTATAGTATTGAGATAAATTTAGATAGGATTATTAAGAAATTTTTGGGGATACATTTTAAGTTCAAAAGGTAAATAAATATCAAGTATATGGTATTATGCTTAGACATATATGTACAGGACTTGTGTCATAATATGTGTGTGTGTGTATATATATATATGGAGCCTATAGTAAAATTGAAGGTGTCCATTCTCTGAACCCATTTCTTGAGGTAGTCCCTAAAAAAACTCCTAAGCACATTACAAAGATATGTTTTTTTTATAGCATTTTTTGTTGTGAGAAGTTAGTAGCAATCTAAATTTCCATTCATTGGGAAATGAATGCAAAAAAAAAACCATGGTATGTTTATAGGAAGAAATATTTTTAGCAATTAAATAAATGAATATATCTATATGTATCATCATTAATGAATTTCAGAAACATTGAGTAAAAAGCAAGTTGCAGAATGCTTGAGTATAGTACATTTTATATAAAATATGTATAAGCACTTAAAAGATACTAATTGTTCTTGGATATGTACGTGTATAGTAAAGTATGAAAACTAAGATGGGAGAGAATCTTCAGAATGATAGTTTATTTGGAGAAGAAGAGTAAAGAATGGAAATAAGGAGATTGGGAATTTTGACTTTCTCTAATATGTTCAGTTCTTAAAAATTCTGAAGCAAGCATGGCAAAATTATTCAGTATGTTAATATTTTGGGGGTACATTATTCTAGTATTCCTCTCTTCCCCCACCCTGACTCCACAGTGCTGGGGACTGAATCCAGGGCCTTGCTCATGCTATGTGAGTATTCTACCATTGGACTTTATCCTCAGCCTAATTTTGTTTTATGTTTTAAAAAATCTTGGATAATCTTAAAAAAAAAAAGTAGATTGAGAGATCAGAGTAGTAAGCCAGTTTGTAAGAGATTAAGCTAGTCAAAGACATGAATTATGATTTTATATAACTGTCTAAACATAGTTTAATGAGGTAATTTTTATTTAATTTTAATTACTTACATTGGGATACTTTACATTTATGTTATAAAATACCTCGTTTTTTATCTTTGATAACAGCTTAATTGAATTTTTTAACAAGATGAAGAAGTGGGAAGACATGGCAAATCTACCCCCACATTTCAGAGAACGTACTGAGAGATTAGAGCGAAATTTCACTGTATCTGCTGTAATTTTTAAGAAATATGAGCCCATTTTTCAAGACATATTTAAATATCCCCAAGAGGAACAACCTCGTCAACAAAGAGGAAGAAAACAACGGTATGCTTTATATTTGCTAATGGGAATACACCTTTCTCTATGCTATAATTTTGATCCTCGAGTTTATTTTGCTGGTCTTAAAAAAGAAATGTGATTTATAAATAATATTTTTCCTCAAACGTTTTCTTTTAATAATAATTTTTGTTTTCAATATGTGTTAATTATGAAGAGTTTGGCTTCTTTTATATTTCAAAATTACAAGATCTTTGTTTATATAAACTTTCCTTCTTTGTATAAGCAATAAAAATGCAGACAGCATGGGTCAGACCTTCAAGATTTTTATCTTGTCTATAGACCATATATTGACCACTGTATTTTCTATTATTGACTATCATAGGCTATTACTGTTATTTTATTTTTATGTCAAATGGGTAACAATCTCCCTGAAATGACTTCTCCATGTATTTTAAGTAGAGAAACTAGATTGAGGAATGAATAGAGAACTAGAACTTCTATGAATTCATGCTTTCTGATAAGATCTACAAAGTCAGTAACTTACTCTGACTTTGTGTTTTCTTTCTTTCTTTTCTTTTTCTTGGATTGTACTGGAGTTTGAACTAAGGCAGTTGCTCTACACTTGAGCCATATCTCCATCCCTTTCATTTTGGTTATTTTTGAGGTAGGATCTCACATTTATGCCTGGGCTGGCCTGGACCACAATCCTATCCTCTTATTTATATTTTCCCATGTAGCGGGGATGGGGAGTGCACACCTCCATGCCAAGCTTTTTATTGGTTGAGATGAGGGTCTCATGAACTTTTTTTCCCAGGCTTGCCTCAAAGCATGATCCTCTTGAACCTCTTGATCCTCTAGAGAAGCTAGGATTACAGGCCTGAGCCACTACGCCTGGCTTCTATCTTTTCTTATAACTATGAACAATTACGAGATTAAATTCTTCTCCATTAACATTAAAATTTTTTCATGAAATAAAAATTCAACATCCTTTCATGATAAAAGCTCTGATGAAACTAGGAATATAAGGAATGTATCTCAACATAATAAAGGCTGTATATGACAGGCCTAGAGCCATTATCATACTAAATGCAGAAAAACTGCATTATTCAACATAGTCTTGGGATTCCTAGCCAGAGCAATAAGACAGGAAGAAGAAATAAAAGGAATACAAATGGGAAAGAAGTTAAACTATCCCTATTTGCAGATGACACGATCTTATACCTAAAAGACCTAGAAAACTCCACCAAAAAACTCCTAGACATCATAAACACCTTCAGCAATGTAGTAGGATACAAAATCAATTTACAACTATCAATAGCCTTTCTGTATACCAGCAATGAACACACTGAGAAAGAATATAGGAAAATAATTCCATTTATAATAGCCTCAAAAAAGATCTAGGAATAAACTTAACAAAAGAAGTGAAAAACCTCTACTATGAATAACATAAACCACTGAAGAAAGAAATTGAAGAAGACTATAAAAGATGGAAAGATTTCCCATGCTCATGGATTGGCAGAATCAATATCATAAAAATGGCTATATTACCAATATATGCAACAATCCCCATCAAAATTCCAGTGACATTCATCACAGACATTGGAAAGTCAAAGTTCATTTGGAAGCATAGAAGACTGTGAATAGCCAAGGTAATACTGAGCAAAAAAGAGTAATGCTGGAGGAGGTATCACAAGACCTGACTTCAACTATAACAAACCATAGCAATAAAAAAAGTATGGTACTGGCACAAAAACAGACATTAAGACTAGTGGAACAGAAGAGAAGACCCAGATATGAGTCCACAAAGCTATGCCCACCTGATTTTTAACAAAGGTACCCAAATATATGATGGAAAAAAGACAGCAAATGTTGCTGGGAAACTGGGTATCAGCATGCAAAAAACTGAAACTAGATCCGTGTCTTTCACCCTGTACAAGTATTACCTCAAAGTCGATTAAGGACCTGATTATAAGACCTGAAACTTTGAAGCTAGTGCAGGAATAAGCAGGAAATACATTGGAACTAATAGGCATAGACAATGCCTTCCTAAATAGAACTCAAATGACTCAGCAACTAAGAGAAGGACTGACATGTGGGACTACATGTTCTTAAAGTGGAATGAGAAAGGTGTTGATAAGAAAAATAACAGCGTGCTATTGGAGTGGCTCAAGTGGTAGAGTACCGGCCCAGCAAGCATGAGGCTCTGAGTTCAAACCCAATACCACCAAAAAAAAAAAAAAAAGGTACAGGAAAAAAGAGGTTGACATTGTTGACTAGAATGAATAATGTTTTTCTTTAAGTATGAAAGTTTCCCAGGCTGGGTGCCAGGGGCTCACACCTGTAACCCGAGCTACTCAGGGAGGCAGAGATCTGGAGGATTTCTATTTGAAGCCAGCCCCAGGCAAATAGTTCATGTAACTCTATCTCAAAAATACCCAACACAAAAAATGGCTGGCAGAGTGTCTCAAGTGTACCTGCCTTGCAAGCATGAGAGGCCCTGAGTTCAAATCCCAATACCACCAAAAAGAAAAGTTTCACAAGTTATGAAGGATGTTTACAAAAAGTACAAACTTAAAAACATGGTAGACCATTTACATTTTTATATAGTTGACACCTCTGACATGAAAGTAGCTGATCTAATTTTTACTTGAAGTTTTGGGGAATTGGCTTTTTACAATTAATTTTTAAATTTTTATATAACAAACTTGGTTCCCAGAAAGGCTAGTGAGATCATTTATAGGAAGTGAGTTGGGGGGTGTGCCTGCCAAGCAAGCGAGAGACCTTAAGTTCAAACACCAATACTGCAAACAAGTAAATAAATGAAGTATTATAGAGTATCTTTTTTTTTTGGAGTGTCTATAAAATGATTTCATACTGTACTTGTTATTACCCAATTCTAATTAAGAAAATTTCTTTATATTTACCTTACTCTATTACTTTTCGTGTATTGTGTGTGTGTGTGTGTGTGGGTGTGTGTGTGTGTGTGTGTGGTGTGGTGCTGGGGATTATTGAACCCAGGACCTTGTACCTGTTAAAACATGATGTACCATTGAGCTACACCTCTGGCCTTCTGTCACTCAAAGTTTTTTTGTTTCTTTGTTTCTTCATTTGTTTTTTTGAAACAGGGTCTTGCTGTATAGCCCAGGCTGGCCTGGAACTTGCATTCTTCCTGTCTCAGCCTCCTGAGTATTGGGATTACAGATGTGAATCACCATGCTAGGCTTACTCTAGTTTTTACTAGAGCTTTTTGCTAACAATACTACTACTACTAATGGCATTTACTGTGTGTTTATTATGGGGCAGGGACTCTTCTAAGACTTCACCATGTATTCAGTTAATCTTATGGCAACCTTATGAGGCTGACACTGTTGTTATAGATGGGGAAAATTATTACTTGAAAGGTTAAGTAATTTTACCTGGTTCACACAACTGACAAGTGTAGCGCTGTTACTGAAATGAAGGTAGTCTGACTACAGTACCCATGTGCTTCGCCGTGGCTGTGTTCTGCATCACACACTATTATGTGAAAGATTGTCACGGAGTAGTCACTGAGCACTTATTCACAGGAAGTACTTATTAGATACTATGTAGAACACAAGTGTTCAAAAAATGAAAACCCAGTGTCTTGAGAGTTTACAGGATAGTGTGGCAGAGGAGGCAGGTATAAAGTGTCCAGTTTGTATAGTGGAACATGTCATAAAAGATACATGAATCCAATAGATAATGGAAACTCCGGATTTTGTGAGGCAAAAATAAATCTGGATGAGCCAGTCAGAAAATGTTACACAGAATAAGTAAAAACAGATCTTGAAGGATGAATGAGATGTCAACAGGTGAATTTGAAGATAATAGAGCCTTCCATTCAGATTGAAATAAAAAAAAATAGACACAGCAAAGCAGAAGAAATTAGGAGTAAGTAGATTAGTCAAGTTTTTTTCTGGGTTTCTTAAGAGGTAGCATTTAGCGTGGCTTAAGTGTTACAAGCTAAAAATTTGGATTTTATCTTGTGAGGCAATCAATACTTGAAATAGTTTATCATGTACTATGGTAGGTAGGCTACTTTTTAAAGCAGGACTCTTGACATTTAATCCTTACCCTGGACTGATGAATTAAGTACAGTATTGTACCCAAGTAGAATAATCTTTTGACAGATGAAGGACTAGGCCCAGAGAGAGCAAGTGTACCTAGCTAATGATAGCTCTGGAACCAAACCCTGTCTCCTGCTCTTCTCGGGGATACTTTGTGCTTCTTTGGCTGTTTTGTTAGCAGAAGGCTGTTGTATTATCAGATGTCTTCTCTGAAATAATGGGCAAGTGTATTAGTAGAAAAGTCAAGCTTAAAGTAAAGCCTGAAACTCCCTTTAGCAGAAAACACTGCAAAATACAACAGGTACTCTTAGTAGGTGGAAATACAAGGGATATGGAAGGCCAGAATTTACATTAAAAAGGGTCTTTTATGATTTGACATAGTCTGGCACATCATTAGGGAGAGATGACTATGGTTTATCAGCTCTGATAGAAGGAAAAATGGAGAGGTAGATCTGTGTATAGGGTTCAAAAGCCAGCATTAGTTGTGCTAATGTTCATTAAAAGAAACTATGGTTTGTCATTTCAGTTTCCACTTTACATATCTTGACTTAAGCCCGGAGTATATTTTGTTTTCTCTTCTCCCTGGCTTTCAACTGTTTCCTCTAGGTATTTGGTTGGGCAGAACTTGCATATCTTCCCCCATGAAGCTGTATCTGGTATCCTTCTCTACTTGTGGGTTTTGTTTTTACACCTACCTTGCAATAATTTTAGATGTCTTTTTATGTTTGTTCTGTTTATCTCATGACTTTTTTTTTCCATCCCCAAAGGCGGCAGCCCTGTACCGGTGTCTGAAATTTTCCATTTCTGTTGGGTGCTCTATTTATATATGCAAAAGGTAAGAAAGGAGTAATACATAATGATTTATTTAGATATTAATTAATTCATTTAAATTTTCAGGTTCTATTTTT